AGAAAAGAAAAAATCATAGGTAAAATTAATTGTAGTTGAAAATTTTGATCAAAATCTGTAATTGTTTAAAAGTTTTTGAACAAAATGTACAACTAATTCAATAATTTGCAACTATTTTAAAGCTCCAACCAAAATTTATAACGAATTAAAAGTTCCAACCAAAAATTATAACTAATTAAAAGTTGCAACCAAAATTTATAACTAATTAAAAGTTGCAACTAAAATTTGTAACTAATTAAAAGTTGCAACCAAAATTTATAACTAATTAAAAGTTGCAACCAAAATTTATAACTAATTAAAAGTTGCAACTAAAATTTATAACTAGTTAAAAGTTCCAATTAAATGTGTAATTAGCTGAGAAAAAAATGACTAAAATTAATCAATTAAAAATTTCGACTAAAGTGTATAATTAATTAAAATATTCTGACCAAAGTTTGTAATTAGTTGAAAATTTTAATTGAGAAAAATACTCAAATATTAATTTTCATAAATTACAATCCATTATTTATTTATTTAGATTATTCATCTTATGGTTAATATGGTTTACGGCATCATTATGTGGCTATGCAATTGATTTAAATTCATCACGTATCAGTGGTAATTTATTCCTCAATCAAGCATTATTTTCCATTCTTATTGCTGCTTCTAAGGTTTTTTTTTTTTTTTCAAATATAATTATCAAAAAATTTTTTTTCACTCAAGTTTTACAAATATTTAAATTTATTAAAAGATAAAAAATAAATTCATTAAGAAGCAATGAAGAAAAAAAAACACTACAAATTACAAATAGAATTTGATTAAAAGTAAATGAAAGAAAAAAAAGTCAAACAAAATATAATTATTAAAAAATTGATTGAATTTTTTTTTTCCCCATCTTTTAATTTAATTTATTTATTTTTGAAACATAAAAATTTAATATGAAAGAAAGAAAAAGGATAGAATTAAATTTAGAAATTTGCGAAATAATTATTATTAAAATAACAATGAATGGTAATTACTAATCCTTTTATTACATATAGATAGCATTGGTAATTTATGATACAGTAAATAAAAAATTCAATCGTCGTAAATTACATCAATATGCGCAATTAGCTGTTTGCATATGCTTTCTAACATTAACCATCCTTGTTTATCTTCATTATCAGGTTAGCTAATTTATTAGCTTTTTTTCTAAAAATTATTTTTTAACGAAATATTTTCCCATTCCATGTATTTTTTTTTTTTCAATTTTTTGTTAAAATATTATTTGATTGTCAAAAATTTAAAAGAAAAAAAAATCAATTCCTCCTGCATACAAGAATTTTTGTAACAAATTATTTAAAACAAAATCAATTTTTCGCATTATATTTAATTTAAAGGGTATCGCTATATTGGTAATTAATTTAATTGGTACAGTATTTATTGAGTATACATGGGATGCATGTTATTTATGTGCGATCGAATCAATGCCAACATCAATGCGTGCTTCATCTCTTGGTTCATGCTCTTTCATTGCTAGAATTGGTGCATTACTTTCACCAACTGTATGTTTCATTAAAAATTTTAAAAATTGCAAAGAAAAAAAAAAGAAAAAGAAAAATGGCATATTTCTTTCAATTCTTTCCATATTTTATACAAATTATCACTTTTTGTTCTTTAAAAGGAAAAAAGAAAGAGGAAGATAAAAATTTAAGAAATATTTGAAAGTATTTTGAAAGAAAGTATTTAATACTTTCTGCTGTAACTTTTTAAAAGCTATCCATTTTTCGGTGTAAAATTTCAATTTTAAACAAAAATGACATTTCCTTCATTTTCAGATCTTTTTTTTGTCAAATATATGGCCACCATCAGCTTATCTTATCGTTGTAATAGTTGGCCTAATTAGCTTAACCTCATCATGCCTATTTTTGGTAGAAACAAAAGATGTTCATCTTGATAGAGTGGACGAAGAAAGTATTAGCATACAAGAGGAACAAATACCAATGGTATCAAGGAGACAATGAAACTGCACTATATTAAATCATTGATAATTTTCCGAAATATACGTTTCAAAATAGATTTACCAAAATGATTTCTCTAATGATTTGTTCATTCCTTTCCATTAATTTCAAACATAAAAGGTAACATTAAGGAGAGTTCATTGATATGCATAATTTCATCACTTAAATTTTAAAAGAAAAAAGAAGTCAGAATATAATGGCAGCTACGTTTATTAGATAATTCAATGTAAGATGACATTTTCTTTCCATTCTTTATTCTTTTTATTATCCAAAACAATTTTTTTTTCATTTCAAATTTACATGATATAATCCTTAAAATTTTTAATTACATCATCCACAAGTTATCGGTATGATTCAGAAAATATTGCGATAAAAAAGCTATAGACATTTCCATGTTAATTTCAAATAGGGAAGCTGTGAATAGACATAGTTCACAAGTATCATTGGAAAGTATAGGGAATAAGTAAACAAAGAATGATAAAGGATAATGAATTGTGAAAAAGATCTCGTACAGCAATGTTGTCCCACAACATATAATAACTATGATCATAAAACAACAAGAAAGTAGAAAATTGTAAAAAAGAATTTTATCTATAAGTAAAGAAATCATACATTGCTGTTCGAGGAGATAGGAATTAACAATAAATAAGGTTGTGTAAAACTGAAAGAAGGATTAATACTGATAATATGTTCGATTTTCGATAATACGAATGCTCGAAAAGAAAAAAGCTTTGCTACTGTGCTACTGTTCATGCATTTATCCTCTTATTTATAAATGAGAAATTCAATTACGTGTTTGAGCATATGTTTAATAGTTGAAGAAAACAGTGATTAGGCCAAAAAAAAAGAAAAGAATCCCTGAGATATGATTAATTGCTACGTCAGGTTTGGAAAAAATTACCCATCATCAGAAATGACGGAGTGAGATAACAGAGAATACAGAACAAAAAATGACTGATTGCTTTCAACTGGATAAAACTTGGAAAAACGTCATAGGTATGTAGCAAATAAATTACTGATAGAAATTTTAAAGACAAAAAAGAGCTGCAAATAAGTACCACAAAATAAAGTTCATGAAAGACCTATACAGTGAGGTAAACCTGAATTAAAATATTTCCGAAACCATAATAGTGGGGAAACAGATTCTTTAAATGGGAGTATGCATATGGATAATGAATAAACAATGCATGAGAAAGGAGGTGTAGAAGCTAAGTTGATTCGATCAAATCATCACCATCAACGAAAAATCTCCCAACCTTAATTTAGGATACTCGAAATCCACCAAGAAATTCTTTTTGAGTTTTCATCCTTATTTAGTTTTTTTAAGACTTCAGAATTCATCAGTCCTCTCAAATCATGGGAAAGTTCCTACAAATTCACCTAACTAAATTAAACCGATATAGGAGTTACTACTGTATTGTTTTTCAGCCCTTTCATGCCTTCAAGTCTTGTTTCCTTCATTCATTGATGTTTCCATAGGATGAATGTTGTCCGAACAAAAGGTATAAGTTTGTAGGAAGGGTTTATTTACGGGATTCGTTCGCTGCCAACATTTGTTTCGTTTAGAAAACACCTAATATGAATGCATTCCATGAAGCAGAGGCACGTGGAACTTCGGTTATAAGTCCTTCTTACAAGTTATATGTTATAAGAAGCTTTCCAATTGGTATTTGGCACTTTGGATTACGTAAATACACAAAAAAAGAGAAAAGGTGGACGAGATTTTAAATTTAAAAAGATATCCAGTTTGATTAAGCAATTATATCATTTTCAGTAATGATTAGGATTACCGACTAAACAATGGTACTGTTATATTATAAAAGGTACTATTATTACCTAATTACAACGAAACAAATTTATAAATAAGGACTTCTTGAGATGTTTGAACCTCAGCCTTCTTCATCTTTCTGAAAAGTATTAAATTCGAATTTAGGAAATCAATGCGTTGCACTGAAAATTTTATAATTATAAAAGTTGACACTGGTTATATGCTATTATGGTACTAACAAAATATATGAGCTTAATTGAGTATGTCGAATTTGTTAACTGTTTTAAGGAATATGAAAATAGTACCATCGAAGCAAGCGATACGCCCAACTACAACTCAAGCTGAAGTAATGAGGAAGTGTTAGTAAAAATACTCTGCTGTATTACCAAGTAAAGGAAAATCATAATAATTCAAACTGAATCCTAGAAGCAATCAATTACAGAGTAAAAAGAGACAAAGATTAATATTCGAGTTGAAAAAAAATGTACAAATGGAACATGTTCAAAACAATCATATTTGCATCTGATCGATTAGCATGATGTTGTTTTAATGCTTGATAAGAAATGATGTAAATTGATTTGATTTCTCACTTTTTCCACTAGTCTATTCTAAAGGAAGAGAAAATATTTTTCACATGTGGGAACATGTAAGGCACTTAGCTGACGAATCATCAATAAAAAGATGACATATGATATACTTCGAATGTGCAATGAATGGATAATACACTTACTATATCGAACACCCCAACCATTTAAAATCGAATTTTGCGCGTATGAGCTTTTTCAAATTCCAAAAAACCTTCCTCCATTTGAGCATCGATATCCTGTAGGCATAACATTGCATGAGTTTTAACGACCAGATCTTCATCCTGGTCCAGGATATAACTCAGCGAATCTGCTATATCATAAAGATGTGATGGAGCTTCCTGCAAAATTGAACATTAATTCATATTCGTTCAGCTTTTCTCATCATCAAAATAATTATATTTCCCAATTTTCTATGAAATTCCAACTTCAGCTGCATCTGCAAATCGTTCTAGATACCCAAATCACATCGAGATTTTTAGCATATAATAAGAAAATATATAAAATTACTAAAAGTGCTGGAATATCTCAACAACAGAAATCAATGATAAAAAAATTACTAACTTGCAGAAGACTGATATCGTATGTTCTGACAATGGCACGCATTAGGTCAACTGCCGCTCGTCTTACTATTTCCGCTTCAGCATCACGTATATACAATTTAGCTGCTAGCAACATCTGAAAGAACTTTCGAACCAATAAAGAAAAATATCAAAAACAACCAAATGCTCTCCCATGACCATTACAACACCATGATATAGGACAGGGCACAGTAATATGTTAATATGATAGGAAACAATGGAAATGATAAAACTGCCATAAATACGTTCAATATATTGAATTGCAAAGCGTTAATTTGTGCTGCTTGCCTTTTATAAAATTTAATCCTCTCCTATATTAAAAAATGCCAAGCATATCATAACATAACGTCTATACTAAAAAAAAAAAAAAAAAAAAAAACTAGAAAAAGTGAAAGGCCACGAACAAAGACAAACAGGAATAAGCTCAGCTATAATATAATATCATGATTCGTATACCTCATCAAGATGCTTGTGTATATTCAATCCACGGCATGAAACGATAAGGTTGGACAATGAGGAGAGTACGGAAGCTCGCAGCAGATCATCTTTAGTATGAAGCATCAATGACAACATCGGATTTACCATACGATCAAAATATGCTGGTGCCATTTCACCTAAAAAGTTAAAGTTTCTTTCACCTTCTTGAAAGGAAAACGAAACTATCATTTGTTGTCGCACAGCAATCTGTTGGTTTACACATTTTATTCATTAAAGTTATACCATTATAGAATGAAAGCATGCGTTTTTACATTATAATGTCTAAATGTAATTTTTTTTGTATCTTCAACCTGTATATTCCATGTCTGTCATATTCTTTGACCCCGTGTTTGCTCGATGCATACTCTGTATTATGTAATGCAATCAGTTTATACTATACCTAACATTAACAATGTGTTATGATATTAAAACTATGCGATGAATATGATTATAACTAATTAAAACGATTAATCCAATATATGCTTCCATTCCAAATATGTGGAATACAGGTATATATTGGAATTGTCGTTTTATATTAAAAGTATACACTGAAATAATCTTCTATTTCAAAATATCTTTTATTCCAATTATATGACAAAAGACACATAGAGTGGACATACCAAGATTTTTATTTGCTTTCGCGATTGCTTCGCCGATTTTCACTCTTTGTATCAATAAGTATGTTTCTTTTTCTTCGTTCCGTAAGTTGTCCACTGGAATTACTATAGCTATGAATAACGACATATTTGTTGCAAATGGTAAAAAAGAATTTCGAATGGAAGTGGAAGAGCATTCGATGGAAACTGGGATATATGAAACGTTGACAACTACTACGCTCATTTTCGGACTAAGCACATCAAGTGATGGCAATTGAAATTATTTTCACTGGTATGCTCTGTATATAAAAGTAGAATTTTATGGAAAAAAGAAGTTACTGTTGAGCTCGAGAATAGATTTCAGCTTTTTTGCCGGGTCCAGAAAAAATTCAACCATCTCATCGAAAAATTGTTGCTTCCAATATGCTAACTCCGCCAACGCATTTATTGCTGCCAAATAAACGTAAGAATCACTATCAGCAACTTGTTCTGAAATATTCCAGTTGATTTTCAAGTTTTTTGGAACCAATTTACCTCCTTCATGAAAATTAGAAAATCAGTAAATATAATCCGCTGTTCTACAAGGCTCTACAACCTGCAAAAATTTCGAATCGCGAATGTATAATAAATCACAAAAAAATACAAGCATATGACAGATTATCAAGAATCATGATCAGTCGTGAGTACACAGCAAATCGTAAGAATAAGATCAGATATGAATTACTGTGTATGATTAAGATTATGATTCTGTTATAAAATATAAGTGCATGTTCGTATTGCTGCAAGTTTACTTTGTGGGCATCTACTTGCCAAGGGAAAAGCTTATATGTCCTTATGAAGTTGCAAGTTATGCTGGCGGTAGCAAATGCTTCTGGTAAGGCCTCACGCCAGACAGGTCCCAACTGAAGGATCAGACAAAATGCGTAGGATAAGCTCGTTAATTTTCCCGTAACCATCCTAGAAGAATAATTCTAACTCAGAACTAGAGCAATAAGGAGTTTGTTTAGCTCTGCAAAGCCATCCATACAGCAGAATACTCTAACAAAACCTACATCCTGTCAACGTCTTAACTTGTTAGGTCCTGTAGATAAGCCTTAGGAGTAAAGGGTGAGGTTAATTTCATGCATGCTATGCCTCACCTACAAAAATTCACTGCATATGCTGGAAGGATATATTCACATTTATAGCATTTGTAGCTCGTGTCGGCGGACCCCTTCTCAAATTTTTGTTCCCGAAGCCTAGCCATGATGATAATAATGACAGCTATGTTGTAAATTACAATAAAAAATTAAAGAAATTGAGAAACTGCATAACTGACCCAAAACAATATGCATAATTGCCGGATCAGCAGTAATGTCATCCAGAAGCTGCCTGTTTTTTCGGCGAATACCTCTTGCTAACTTAATTAAAGCATGTCCACGAATGGATTCTGATTCATCCAAAAGGTCGGATTGGATTTGTCCCAAAGAGAAAGATTCTGAGCCTCGGGCATTCATCGGATTATCGCCAACAATTGGTGATTCATCAATGAAACTAAAACTTTGATACTTTCTGGAGGTTGTGATTTCATCACAACGGTTACTAATGGTTACTAGCTTAAATAATCAATAATTCCAAACTGAACAAGTGCGTTCAAAAGCGAAAGGATAATCGGAAGTTATTAATTTAAATTTGGCACAGGTAGAAGCAGTACAGTTGAAGATATGAAATTTGAATGAAACAGACATTAGTATCAAAATGAGAAATGCTAACTTACCTAGGTGCCGCGTTATCTTCCCTCGGTTCAATATTATTTGCTTTTAAAAGTGCAATAATTTCCCCAGCAAGCTGCTGGAAATCCAAATATAGCTTTTTATCCGTATCACCCAATTTTGAAACTGTATTCGAGAAAGCTTGTAGAATGTTTGCTCCACGTATCAGATTTTCTTTGAACTGCAATTCGGAAAATTAGCACAAGCAATTAAAAACTAACAACTGAATCGGGGGAAACATGAATTTAAAGGGACAAATGATATCTTGACCAATTCAAAAAGCATTTTGAAACAATACAATCCAGTTTCAGATTTCCTTCCTACGGTGCCGTCTACTTTAATGATTGTTTTGATCAGCGGTGTGTAATATGCAAACAGAGTCCAGGATCAGGTCACAGGTATTTATTCCTGAACACTATTATGCCAAATATCAGAAATAGCTTTGGATAAACAATGGCAATGCAATATAGTTATATCCCTATTTCGAAAAAAGGAGAGGAGTAATTCTCGGATTATACTTACCAATTTTTTCAACAATAATTTCAAATTTTGACTCAAAAAAAGAAAAACTTGCAGCATCCGATAATACCAAAATCACAACGAACGAAGAACATTGGTTGCAACGTTTTGGAAACGGTCGTGAAAAGGATGAAAGATAACTGTAAAACAAATACTTTTATGAATTCTCCTTGCTTGAAGACCAGGATACAGTGAAGAATTGTCAGTGCTAGATGAATATTATTTCGATCCGTAGCCTCAAGTTCTTTATCTTCCTCCGACGGCATACCTCTTATATCCATTGCGATCGAATTCACGCGTACATTCAATTTTGCTGTGGTAACATCCAGTATGCTCTGTAGAAAAGCACTCTACTGCATTAGGAACAGTATCAAATATCAAAAATTTGAAACTCTTTATGGAATTTTGATTTTTACCGATTGCTAAATCTCTAAATTGCTTCCTAAATGATAAGCTAATGATACATACTCATGATAACAAAGATCCAAATTTGAAGCTGAAATTAAAGAAAATTTCACTCATCACTGCACATCAACGAACAGCTGATCAGATAAAAAATTACTAGAACTTTTTCATAAACATAAAGGTGAACTAACCAAAGGAATGTCAATAAGATTTGCCAAGTTATCATCTGAGAGTGTGCCTGTCTCCGACAAAATAGGCAATAAATCGTTCAAAAAATAATTCACTTTCTGTTTTCCTGAGAATCAAGAATGAACTGTAGCACAAAACAACAAAAAAAAAAAGTCACAAAACAAGAGAATAAAATAATAAAAGTAAAATAAAAATCATTCGTCGAGTTCCCAGAACCCCCTGTTCCCTTCCACTAGCCTGAATAGCAAACTAGGGTTCGAAGATATAGGAACCTGAGATCTGATCTAAGCTCCATCATTGAAATTAAAAAGCCTGACTTATTAGAATTACTTTCTTTAACATAAAAAAGCACTCTTACTTCCTTCGAAGCCTATTTCTTCGTTGTCTGATGTCTCTTGAGAGCTACAAGTACTATCATAGCTATCGTTGTCGGAATCCACTTCTGCCCAACGCTCAATGCAACACATCGCCGTTCTGATTGCTAAACGACGTGATGCTTTTGGTTCCTCTCCTTGAATTCTCTAAAAGAACTTGTAAAATTAGCTCCTATTCATCGAAAGTACTAAATGTCGTGATATTATTAAAATTGAATGTATCACTACATCCATGTTCTACAACGAATACTCGAAGGGCATCACAAAAGTCAGTTCAAGAAAATTCACGAAGAGGATTTGGATTGGGATCAAGTAAGAAAAAATGACTTGCTATTCCATTTCCCTTAACCACTTTTTTTGAAAAAGCACTCGTGCTCATCATTACTGTTCCTATGACAATTAAACAAAAGCAGTAATTTCTACCTGCAAAATTTTCAAAATTCCTTTCTCGAAACGAATAAATGCACTTTCTGCCTTTTGAGGCTTTACAAGATAGATTCGAAGACTTGCATAATGGGCTTTGAGAAGTTTTAGCCAAAAAATATGACCGTCACAAATAGTGGACATAATCGACGAAGTATTCGTTTGTGCGTTCTCTTCGTGTTTGACTTCGTTTTGTTCGACCTCCTCGATTAGAACCTAAGAAATATATAAGGAATGCACAGACAAAATCAATAAACCAGAAACAGCTTATTTTCATCAAGAATGTTCAGAATTTTCTTAACAATACTTGAAGCAGAACTAACTTTTTTATAGCTCAGCTCTGGTAGATACGAATCGTGGTCATCTTCTATTTGCCGAACAAGAAACTCCGCCTGAAATCTTAAAGAATTTTATCATATGTGGAATAGAAACTTCAGTTTTACTTATTTCACATTTAATTAGATATAATAAAGGTGATCGAACGAAAAAAAATGGTATATAAGTATAAAATCTTAAAAAATGAAATGCTAAAACAACACGTATGACCTTAAGTAACTAGCAAAAAATACGATCAACAATTGCTATAACTCTATACATTAGTATTATGAAAATAATTAGAATTACGCTAGAATTACGACTATAATTGATTAAAAACAACGGAAAATAATGCAGAACATTAGAGAAATCCATAACCTTTTCGTCGACTGTTTCGAATGATGGATCATCGAGAATCCGATGTAAAATATCAAATATTCCCTGACCGGCATTGTCATACTCCGCAGAGATTCCATGCATTTGTTTTTCTTCATTTTCCGTATAGCTCGCATATAACAGGGTCCACAAATTGAATAGCTATAAACGTTTACTATGTCATAGTAGTTCTTGTTATGAATGTATACATTTAGTTACTTCTTTCAGAAATCGTAGGACCGGATATTAGCACGAATCCACATCAAATCACAATCCAAAAACAATCCAAAGAAAGCACGTCTAACCTTAACTCTTTTTCCATTATTACATCTCTTTTAGGATGAAAGAAATGTTTACATTGAATTTTGGAATGTAATGTGATTTCCACATATTTCATTAAGATCACTAAAACTATCCATTCCTTATGTTTATTGATACTAATAGTTGAAAAAGTTCCATATTGTCAACCGTCACAACATTTCCTTCAGCGCATAGCTTGGCAGTGATAGACTGCAGAGTAAATTGAACTACTAAATGTTGACACTGTTTGAGAGAGCAAAAGCAGAAATTCAACGAACAACTAAACAAAATTGAAATCTTTTACCGCTTTGAATCTGCGGAAGAGTGGCAAATGCATTCCTCGAGGAAGAGCCTTGGTATAAAATGACAAAATTCGGAGTGACCTGTCTAACATAGGGTCGAAAAAATTGGTCTTCTTCGGTGGGTATTTTGAAAAGCAATCAAATCTGAGATTCTGAAATATGAAAATTTTATTCATTTATTTATATTCAGTGTTGCTATCATCATTTTCTTGAATGACAGAATTTTTAAGCACTTAATTATAACATTCGATGTGTTTATGGTAACAGATGCTGTATACAGTGTCATTAAAAAATAAAATTACAATCTACAACAATATGCCATTTAAACTAAATTAAAAAGAAAACAAACCGTCGATTTACTAATTGTCAATTTTTCCTTTTTTGAAATTAAAAAAAATATCGAATAAATTTAAGTCCAGCGATTTTTTTTCTTTACTATCCACTTCAAACCACAAGAAACAAACCTCCCATGGCAACAACAATGTATCGAAAATCATTTCGACTAACTCTTTCGGCAACATATCTAACACAACGGCAAAGCAAACAGCAGAATCGCCAGCATTTGGATGCTTCTAAAATTGAAGTTAGTGCTTACTTTCTCATTTCCTTATTTTGTCTTAATTTCTTGTTCTCCTCAATTTTCTTGTTCTAGTTAGATAGAACTTCACATCAAGTTGACATGCTCAACACGCTTTGTATTCTTAGTCGCTATATAGCTCAATACCTTCCCTCCTCATTATGTTATTCTCCCAGAATCGCCAAAACCTTTTGATTATGAATTACATCGTGTTCGTAATGAAGGTCTGTTTTACTCTGATGAAAACATAAATGGAACATATGGAAATAAATGAAGGGAACCTAACTACTTATCGGATCATAGCGCTGTATGATCGTATTACGTGTTGAAATAATGGCTGTAAATGGGCTAAAAATTGTTATGCCTTTTCGTTTAAAGCGGTTAAGAACATGTTATAAAGTGAGTCAAGTCAATAAAAATTAAAATGGTAGAATTGTAAATGAGCAAATTATTTACCTCCATGACAACCAAAAAATTTTCAATTAAAGAAATATAATATTTTTCTTTCGGTATTTTATAAGGAACTGTTACCAATATTCGCGATAACGACTGCACAAATCCGAAATCACCAAAACAATTTGCACCTGCAAAAACTTATTTTTACCATTCTGGAAATAATCTAAAACCGCTAAACTGAAACAGAACGATATACATACCATCGGTTATTGCTGTTATTAAATGATACAATCCATTCTCCAATAACAAAAGTTTGGTGATATGCTTGCTTATTGCTTTCTGAAAATCAAAAAAAGACGTAGCAAGATGTATATTATGTATAGTAAAACTGCTATTGAAAAAATTATGTTAGTATTATTTCGGATGAGTAAAATAAGACTGCACCTCATAACTTATTATTATCAAATTATACAGACTATTCCTTAGCAGTACAATTTGCAATGGCTGTATGTTTAAAGAACTATCACAAAATTTATAACTTACATGCAACCATTTCGGTTGTTTCTTATTTGCAGTTAATAAAATGAACAGCGATGTGATCAACATAGGTCTGAAACACAATTAATAAAACACCACTTTTATAAAATGATATACCTTTAACAGTCACCTAACCTGAACAAAACGAACGAAACCACCTTCATTATCATCAGATCATATAGCAAGTCACAGATCTGAATAATGGTATGATACAATGTTTTTTTTAGTAATCTGCCAGTTATCTAGCCAATTGCACAGATTAATTCACTGGGAAATACGTGAAAATAATACCTGTCAATGCTTAGAATAAATTCCCCATACTTCTGCTTATGATTTTTCTCGCCTAGTTTAATCAGCTGCAAAAAAAAAAGATATTATGAGAACATATTTCCTTGGATTTTCTATCATTTTATATAAGAACCATAAAAGCAAAAGAAAGAACTAAACCATCTGTATTTCTATAGTTTTCTAAATATCATCACAAATCCCTTACATGGAAGATAAAAAGCATTTCAAAGCCGCAAAGACAAAAAAGAACAATTCGGTGATAGGAAACAAATGGAAACCAACAAACCTGCTCATTTAAGCATATATAATCCGCCAAAAATTTCTTTACCACACAGTTCTTTATCATTTCGCATGAATTCATCAGTACATCGAAAACTTCTAATGCTTTTTTCAACTAAAAATGTCCATTGATTAGTTACAAAAGATGGATAGTATATGACTTACAAAATGGTTGTCAGATCAGTACAGGGTCATTTGACAAATCAATGGATGCTTTAGTAATCTAGTCGATAATGCAATCAAAATATGCTAGGAATATGGATAATATAAAACTGCAAATAACGAAAAAATCCAAATCCAAACACTGGAGGATAGCTACAGCAAATCTGTAAAAAATTGATCATAGTAAAGCTAGTTTTTGCTTCCGTTATCTGAACTTCAATTACAGCTATGGGAAGGCAACCAGAAATCAGCTGAGTTATGATTTAACATGGACTCAGAACATCAACTATCAAATTCATACATAAATTTTCTCCACACAAGCTAAAGCAAAAAAATCAAACTGCTTTTCATGGATAAATTTAAACAGCCGCTTACTACATATTAATATTCCTTAGCTAAAGAACACCATCCATTAACAAAAACAACCTGCTTCTTCCGAAATTCAACATCGCCAACAATAGGTTTCCAGTGCTCCACGAGACTACTCCTACCCAGATGTAGAATCACACCTGAATGATAAAACTGAGATAGTGGCTCGCTAAGATCAAGAAAAAGAAGGGAAAACATAAACTTCTGGATGCAAAAAATGTTCGAAATTTGTCCCATAAGTAATCGTCGTGATAAGGACAGCAGATGACAGGCCACAAATGATTTCGAAACATCAAGAAAAAATGGGGAAATAATCTACCATCATCAACATATGGTCGGACTGCTGTTGGAATGATGAACTCAAATGCTGTTTCTACAATCGACAGCTGGTTAATCGACAGTAGAATCGATGGGTTAGTTGCCTTCTCACGCATTTCTTCCAAAATTTCTGCTACCTACAAATAATATCCTTGACCGCGAAAAATATTCAGTAAATGCACGAAATGGAAAAGTTGTTAATTACTCAACAAACTATGAAACAAAATCACGAAAAACAAGGGAGGAAGTCGTCTGCAAAAAGATAACCTTCTTTAGCAAATATAGCATTCGGTAAGAATAATGAATCCGATAATCGACTTCAGATTCTGCGACATCTGTAGTAGGTGATGGTGGTGGTGGTGCTAAAGTAGGGGATACAGAATAACTGTGTTCACCAAATGGAATAGTTTCGTTAATATCCGAATCATATGGAATATTTTCCGAATACGGCAACCGATATTCCTCTTCCATTTTCGGATCGATCAATCCTTTACTTCGCATCAAACGCTCCAAATGTATCGTTTGATGTTTTAGTGGATCGAATGGTAGTCGCCTTACTTTCGGTAAACTCAAGGCTGAAAAATTAACAAAGTGTGTATTTGCATCATTGCTATATCATAATTTAAATTGCTTATGGAAAACAATTTTTTAATTTCCATATAATCAAAAAATATGAAACATCAGATATGATGTAATGTATGGCAGTTTGGCCTGTAGAGGAAGGACTTGATAACAGCTCATCTCTCTTCTCCCAAAAAAAAAGCACTATTCCATAATTTCTTTTTCCATAATCAATTTCCCGTCCGTATTACATAATGAATATATAACGACATTTTCGAAAAAAAATTTTTTTACTACAGCTCTCTTCTCAGTCTACTACTGTTACCAACTAAATTTAACGCGTTATATTAAAACATCGCTTTCAATTTAAGTCATTAGTTCCCAATGGACAGTAAATGCATTACAAAACATATCTTTCTTGAGTTCATCTTTCCACAGCATGTCCATCTAATCCCGACCTTAAACTATTTACCCTATTTATACTAACAATATGTGTGCCATCATGTGACATGAAATTATAATTATAAAGCATGAAACTGTGGACTAAATTTCAATCAAGTCTGAAACTTGCGTGTGCATCCTATTTGTATCAAACAGAGATAATCATGAACAGTTGCTTGATCCATTTTGACAGAGGCAGGAACAAAACAACGAGAAATCTAAAAACATGAAAATAAAAAAACTTTTGGAACAGTTTAAAGATTATTTTAAAAATCCTAAAAGCCACTTTAAAAATTTTGAAAACTGTAGACATTTCGAAAATTTCAAAAACCAAAAGAATTAAAAACTCAATCCTTAATAACGTTTATTTGCATGAAATAACTGTGATAACCTGATTAGCCGCTTCAGTTGACAATAAGATTGCACTCATATATCTCGAGCAATAATCACTAGAATTACAGATTCACGATAGCGACCTTCAAGCCGTTCCATCCATCGACCCACTAATGATCATGCTAACAATGACAAGTTAGATCAGCTAAATCCTCGATGGCTAAGGCATATAGTGCCCTATCCACCGCCTTGAAACTTCTAGTTCACCAGTGTCAAATCGTTCCTACACCTTCACCACAACAAAGTATTCAAAATTTTCAGGAGAAGTGAACAACGATGTCCTAAGCGTTGATCAGTTGCTTTCTGAAAATATTCAAATTTGAAAGAACCAAATTCTGATTAAATAACTAAATACTATTACCGAAATAATTGCTGTGGTTTATAGTGCCCTAATTACCGACTTGACACTTTCATTTCATTAGCGTCAAATCGTTTTATCACCTTCGCCACAATAAAGCATTCAAATTTTTAAAAAGATATGAATATCGATATCCCGAACGATGAACACTCGCTCTCCCATCTTCCCATCCTCTTTACAATCCGTTCTTTCATGATCGAGGAATCAATGAAATCTAACTTAAAATTTCAAGAAGAACGATAGCATTGTGGTACATACCATAATGAAAATTGAAAATGAAATGAGGAACGAGTTTTTTTATAAAATAATTTATTCTTCAACAAACACCAACAATAAAACATTCGCTATTACTTATACTTTGTTAAATGCTACGATATCAACCGACTGCACTAAATCATCGAAACCTACAATTTGCTCTTCTAACCAGTCCGAGGACACTTTCTCATCTTCCACCACACAACAGATCTGGAAAAGGAAATTTTCTTTAAGTTGTTTGAATTCCAAATTATATCCAAAAAACCATTTCGAAATCATTCAGATACTTTTCATATTTGAATTAGAACAATATCGATACCATCTTACCACCCAGTATTCTACGAAATTTTCCTTCACTAACCCATTTTTCTTCTCATGTTATTCTTTTCGGCTGATTCTTCTATAGCACGATCTGTTTAGGTATTTCTTTCCATTGTATGCGTTAGGATTCCTTATTACATACTATTTTCTCTTGATCTGCACTAATAAATCCTCTATACTATTTTAAATTTATAGTCATTCTTTTGTCTGAAGCCCATCTGCAAATACTGTAAAGCGAATCCCATACCTGAAGTTTTTTGATGCCATAAGCTACGGGCAAAACTTTCGCCGCTCCCCAAACAAGTCCATCCAGTTCGATCGTTCTTATATTCTTCTCAATATCGGCCATTTCGATTGAATCATCCCACGGTTTTACATCAAAAATGATATTCGATTTGGCAATCGTAGCGGGCTTTTTCGCTTTCTTCTCCTCATAAGCCTTCAAAAATTCCTCGTTGAGACACTTTACTGCAATCTTTGCGTATGTCGCCATTCTCTATTTCGTTTCAAAGCATGTCTTTTTTTTTTGACTGTTTTAAGAGGGATAAGAAATATTATCCTTTTGATGCGATAGCTACACTTTTTTTTTACAAGACACGAAAATATACTCCTTATGATTATAATGGGACATAATCTTAATCAGTGAATTATTATTAACCTGATGAAACATCACATAATTTCTTTCCATTTACTTCAATAAAAGGTCTACAGATATATCTGCGGTAGGAAGAGGTGGAGAGGGAGGAGGGAAATTATGTCAACGTGCCAGAAACCATACCAACCTTGGAACATTTTCCAAGCCAAATGCAGCAGCTAAAACTTGAAGGTCACTATTTGTTAGAGGTCTCATTATGTCTTTTCCGTTTACGTTTAATTTTAGAATGATCATATTTCTCATCAATCAGAAACTTTTGATACATATGCAATCGCCTCTTTGATCGGCTAGTATAAAGTGGAACATACCTCCTTTTCAAAAGTATTTCCTCATCTAGAATGAGCAAACAGAAGACATAATGTAGCAAATAAGATGAAGTAAAATACAATATAGGGTATCTGCGCTATGTTTCAATTCCAACTAAAACTCATGATGCAAACACCTGACATGGTATGTTTCTTACAATGCCTCCGATCTCCTATACTTATAAGATGATGGTCAATACATCACAAACTTTATTTCTTGTGAAGGGATTAATTTCATCCTTGGTAAGAAAATCCTCTTATTTCAAACAAATATTTATATTTGTTCCTGGACTGAAATAAATACTTTTGTTGCCATCTTTCCCTCTCATAGTATTAAATAATAATTCCTTTCAGCATGTCCTGGTTCATCTCAAACCTCAGAAAATTAACCTCCCCTTTTTTACTCTGTTTCGGCGTAAAACATTCTATATGGTGGTGTTACATTGAAAAGTACAAAATTTTCAATTTATATGCTTTCCTTTCTAAAGCGTATAAGATGAAAAGTTAAACCAAGAATGAGATGATGAGCACAAGGCTTTTCCTTTGGATTATTTGGAATATGTAAAAAATCTAGAACTAAACCTTCAGTCGTGCAGCGGTTATGCGTGCTTTTTCCTCATCATCTTCATCATCTGAACCGAATAAATCAATATCTTCGCTAGGCTCTTCCTTCTCGAGAACTGCGTTAACAGAAGTCATCGGGGCAGGCCACCTGAAAGAAAAAATTTCCCAGAACTTTATTTACCCCTCTTTTTTTTAAAGGAAAGCAAAACTAGTTACGATTTTCTTTCCTCGTCGCTAAAACTTCCTATATTCCGATACCATCGTAAAACATTAACATATTTCATAGCTGGTTCTGAGCTGAGCAACCTGAACAGCTGCACATCATCGCCAGATGGTGTGTATCTGAAAGGTAATTCCCTACATTATTCCGATCATCAAAAACGAAAAACATAAAATGAAATGGGTAATCATTAATGTTCACATTATACCATCACTTCTTCGAGAATACTTATAGTTTTGAGCTGTTTCCAAAAATCACCTAACTAATACTCTTTTCTCTATTCTCTACATTATTATTAATATGATAAGACAATCAAGCTAAAGTTACATAAAAGAACAGAAACGTAGTGTCGTCACGGCAATCCTAAATACGATTTATAATGTATTTGCTTTTTCATGAATTTCCAAAAATTGTAGCATTACTCTTTATCAATCTCTGTTTAGCATTTGTTTCAAATGAAGGAAAAAATCCCATTTTAATAAATTCTTATAATGATTACAACAAATCATGTAAAAATTAATTGTGCAAAAATGACCCAAAGTATTAACAAAGGAAAACTGAAAAACAGTAAACAAAAAATTATAAAAATAAATGAACAAGTCACCCGGATGCATATGCAAAATCCTTCAAATGTCCATCAAAAGCTGCTAATCCATCATCTGCTTTCAAGTCATACATTGTCACCAGAAGTGAGAATTTACCTATAGATTTAATCAAAAGTTTATGCTGCTGATTTCCACTGAAAATATATCAAATACGATATCGAGTACGGAAACGGATAAAAAGACATACAGGAGGAAAAGTTAACAACTTATAGTCAGTGACAAGTAGTAGGATTAGGAATAAAATCGAACTAATTATTGAAACATTTTGTACATTATCCATCTATTATTTCAATATGTCTGCCAAGACAGACTTAAGGATGATTTGAGAAAAATAAAAGCTATTCAATCCGGACCAGACCTGCATTGGTATTATACATAAACAATATCGAATTATTTTTAAAGATAAAGTAGACTTACTAACATTTTTTTTTGCGAATCAAACAGAAATTATTTCAAACACAATGCGGATAAAACTTTTAAATACTCTAAATTAAGTAATTAAAAGAAGCAATATCTAATAGATACTCAATTTGAAACTGCTGTAAAACTATCATTCTTAATGCATACAACCCGAAAGAAACAAAAAAGAAAATGCCCACCTAATTATTTCAATTCTCCAATCATTGAATGTCATCTACAACACGGTTTAATTCTTCAAACAGTCCCAATAAATTATTCAAAAAATTATGCAAAATCACCTTCACTGATGCAGATGAAAGTGCAAACAAAATTTGAAACCCAAAATTTTCATCAACGGCCAATTTTATGAGTAGGAAAGAGGAAACCACCGAAACCAAACTTGAAACCAACAGCGTAACAAATGAAAAGAACCTCACCCTAAACCTCCCGCCATCCCCCTGACCAAAAGTGACATAACCATCAGGAAGCATCACCGGAATAGTCACTATTTCCTATCGTAATCACACGTCTGAAATCTCTCTCAAGACTGGAAGCCTCTATTGCAGCACAAAAATATAATCCTTTATTTTATTGGGATATAATTTACTGGAATTTTATTAGGATTAAGTCATTTTAAAATGCCACCAATTAATTGTTATGATTTATTTGCTTCATTACAGGTAATCATGTGACTGATGAAGCAATTAGAAGCGAAAAAACCTCGGAATATTGAAATTTAAGTGTGTTGGAAAAACGAAAACTTATCCTTTTCTAAACTGTTAGAACATAAAATTGGATGGAATGGAGGAGGAAGTTGGGTATTGGAAGCAAAATTTATATTTGCTTCAGGAAGCTGCACCACGACCGTTTCCTGTTAAATGTACGATAGCACCGGAATCATCACCACCTCAGGTATCATATTTGCTTTTTTTGTTCACCAAATATTAATCATACTTTTGTTTTAGATATGCAACGTTTCACCAATTTTTGAATTTGAATTAAATCTGTTATGCAAATTGATGTTTGTGTTATATTTGAATTAAGATAAAATTGATTAATGGTATTTGAATCGAAATTTAAAGCGAAAATTAAACTAATAATGGGAATGAATACTTGGGATAAAGCTGAATTAAAAAGTATTGTCCAGAAATTGAAACTAATGTTACACTGGGATAAAATTAAGTTGGGCTAAAATTGTCTTTGCGATTAAACTGAATTGCGCAACTTGAATTTGAATTAATATTGGAGTGGAATTTCAATCGAAATTGACTATTGATTTTGAGCTTAAACGAATGCCACAACTTCATTAATACCTATATCTTCCAGGGTATAGTTGCATGCTTTCTACTATAATTTCATCTATTGTAGTTGTATTCTTTTTTTATATTAATATTTTTTGTTATTTCTTAAAAATTTGGAATTTTGATTAGTTACTATGGGCTATGTTTTTTAATGCAAATATTAATGCGTTTATTGTTGCGATAGACGACGCCATATTTTTACCTTCATTTTCTGTCTTTGTTGCTTAAAACTAATATTTTAGTATGGCACCGAATTTCATGGTTTAATCGAGCGAGAAGTAGCAGAAAATATGTTATTGGAAGCTGGTGAAGGTGCTTATTTGGTTCGAGCATCTAGGCGTTCACCAGGTGCTAATACGTTATGTATGTTTTTCGATGGGCGTGTACTAAATTATAAACTCTTCTACGATGGTATGCATTATGTTGGCGAGAAAAGGTAAATAGCTGATATTTATATTATTCGAAACCACATCACAATATTCATGCCAGTGGCTTTTTTCTTTTTACACTGCATGATTAGCCATTGTTCAAGCTTTTTGATGCTATATGTGTTGCACTGGTCATTTGTACGACAAAAGAAATTAAAGATTAATTTGTTGCTGTGAACCAATTTTAGATAATTCTTTAGATACAAGTTGATTAGGTTGGCAGTGTTAAAAGATAAATAGAACTAATTATGGGAAACTTTTCAAACAGATAATATTTGCTAGATTGGGAATGAAGCGGTGGTATTATTGACGCTAAACTAAATCTTGGTTTTAAAACAACAATGTAAGAATTGTCCTAAATCTCGCTTTTAATGCAATAATGTAAGGATTGTCACTTTTGAAGGATGAACAAAATGGTTAACCCGGATAGCATATTGCCGTCTTGTTAACATTAAGCAGATTTTGTTGAATAATATGAACGTTAAGTTTAGATTCGAACATTTGGAGGATTTAGTCGCAGATGGATTGATAACGATGCATATGGAGAAGCATGCAAATGATTATATACAACGTATGGCTGATGAAGCGATTTATGAGCAAAGTCCTTATTCGCAGTATCAGAAAGCAACCGATTGTCGGCGACAACCGTGTGCTCGATGTCATAATTTCACACCGGCTACGTTCCGAATACCACATTATTGCGATTACTGTCGCAATTTTATGTGGGGACTTGTTCAACAGGTTCCTTTTTCCTTCCTAGTCTTTTTTTTATGAATTGTTGAATTTTTGATCATTTTTACTTATCTTCAGAAATTAAATCATGTAGTTTTATATCTTCAGTAATAAAATCATATAGTTTTACTTTGTAAAGTTAACTTCTCAACAAAATCATATAAATAAAATAATACACTTCCATGTTTTCCCAATTTCCAGAATACTCTTGATTCGTACCTGCGGTTTCCGAAGCACAGGACTGCTTTAGACGTCATTTTATTTAAATTAATCAGAAACTGAAACTGAAATAAGAGATATCTGAAATGTCATGATGATTTCAGGGTGTTAAGTGTGAAGATTGTGGTTTTTGTGCGCATAAGAAATGCAGCGAGCGTACTATCCATGATTGCCGACCAGAGGCGAAATATGTAAAGCGGATGTTTGCTGTGGATATCAGCACATTATGTATGGCACATGCTGTGAGCATTCCGCCTGTTGTTTCTGCTTGTATTACCGAGGTTGAACGACGTGGTTTGCGTGTGGAAGGAATCTATAGGGTTTGTTTAATGTTTTTTTAATGATTTAATAATTTTTGCAGCAAAGAGGGAGGAGAAGATAGGATAAGCTTCTTTACTTTTATGAATACGCTAACTTTTGTGTATATATGTGTGTATGCGATAGATTTTGCCTTTGTTTTCCTTTTTCTATGCTTTCGGACCTCAGTAGTTACCGAGGGTCATCGTATATCATTGCATAGTTTCAGGAAATCGATCATCATTTCAGGTATCTGGCTCTCATGAACAAATGGAAAGACTACGTCGACAGTTCGATACTTTGCATAAAGTTGATCTCTCGATTGTCGAAGATATTCATACTGTAGCTGGCCTTCTAAAGTTATACCTCAGGCTTTTGCCGCAGCAACTTGTACCATTTTCTGTATATCGATCTTTACTTACCGCTTACACCAATAATCGAGCTTTTCACGAACGATCAAAAATGTGCAGGTATATTGTTGATTATACTTTATGCTGCTGTGCAGCCCGAAACCCAAGGAAATCCGATTTCTCCAACAAAAGAATATTGACTAGTTAGAAAACAATGCAAGAGTTACTTCATACCTTTCAGGAATTTAGAAAAAAAGATGCGATTATCGAGTAATTGTGGATAAAATGTCTGCAATGAAAAGTGGAATTTGTATGTTATAAGTAAAGAAGTCGTTAAAATTTGTTTCTTTACTTTTTAGGAAAGTTTTGAAAGAATTGAATGAAGCAAATGGCCGGACATTGTTAGCAATATTAATGCACATGCAAAAAGTAGCCGACAGCAGTGGCGAAAATAAAATGAGTATCGAAAATCTAGCAACCATATTTTCGCCTACATTGTTCTGTACTGGTACCGTTCCAGCATTACCCCAGCAGCAACACCAGCTTCTTCATTTCCTTATCCAGAATCCTAGGATTGTCCCATTTACTTAAAATAACAAATGATCTTTTCTTTTTTATCATCACATTAATTACATCTACTCTTTTGCATAGGATATGTCAGTGTCATCACACGTTTAGTGGACGATGATACGTATCAAATGCTTTCGTAAAGAATTATGGGTTTTGCTTTTTTTTTTCTTTTAGTTTGGAATTTCGCCAGATTTGACTTCACTGTAGTGTTTTGATCAGTTTTACACGTGTTTCGTACTATGATCTGTTTGTTGTTTGTATGAAGCGCGAATTGATATGGTAATTGGCTCAGGTATGTTTCTACTAAGAGAAATTAAATGTATTATCGAGCAAAGCAGTTAGGTTGGCCAACAAGTAGAAATTTCACTTTAATATATGTGGGATCGTGTAAATATTTTTGGAACTATCGGGCTTTTAGTTTTTGCTGCATGATTGTGATTTCTTGCTTTTTTTTTTTGTTTTTCCTACTCTCGTACTCTAGGAGCAGATCATTTGATTTTTACTAGGTGATGAAGGATTTTGTTAAGGTTACTACGTATAGAAATTAAATTAATCTAAACAGGATTAGTTCTTTCCAGTCATCAAGGTATGGAAAGAACTCACACTGTTCCCTATTCTTGTTGTGAATAGCTAGGTGCTCAATAAAGATCATTTTCCAGTCGATGAGAAATTGTAATAAACCTACTTATTCAAAATTTTTTCTCATATATAGAGAAAACCAGTTAATCTTTATTCATTGCTCATTCACTGTGTTATAATACTTAACCATCTTTTGCTGTTTGTATCTTTGCCAATGTAGGGGAAAATCCATTGCAGGCATGGCTCACATTTTAGAAATTCCAAGAGGAGTTGCCAAAAATTTTCATCAGGATGGTAAGGTTTCTTGCTCTCGAAGTTTTTCGCACTTTCAGCTGTTCCATGCATTTTAAGATCATATAGATCAATCTATGACCATTCAGTATTACGATATTACAATGATGTAAATTAACTTAATATTTTTTCCCAAATGCACAAATTGCATCCCTCGTTATTCCTTCTTTTCCTGCTACATCCTAACTACTTTTCTACTTTCGAATACATAATCCGTTTGCTTCGTATGAAAAATGACGTGTAATACGTTGAGGAATGTTCTTCATTTAATTGAGGCTTATGTATATTGTTATATGTTTGGAAATGTGCTCATTTTAAAGTTCTCCCTATTTTTTCTTATTACTTTGCTGTTTATAAAATAGCGACTGTACGTCGTATGATGCTCAACCCTAACTCCAGAGAAAGGGCAAAGAGGTTTACCACATTGGCTGGCAAAAGAAATTTCCAATATTACTGACAAACTAACCTTTCGAATTTATTGTCAAGTGAATCTTCAAGTTTAGTTCTAGACTTTATTTGAAAAAATATAAAAATGTGTCTTGTATACTCTGACGTACAGTTAGTATTAAGTAGTATAAAATACATTACGGAAATTTTTTGGCTAATATAGACTGAAACATAGTAATGTTTAGCTATAATCTTTGGTGAAACCAAATATAGTTGCTATCTTAATAACTTGATCGGATCAGATTTGTGTGAAATCCTCATTAAAGCATTAAAGCATAGTGCAAATAAATGTTAAGCTTTATTCAGATGAAAGAAAAAATTTAATATTATTTCCAATTACAGAAATGGATTATCCAACTTCTCGGATGCATTGACATATATACTTTTTAGCTGTGAAAAAGCTTCTAGAGCTGCTATACCATTTTCACGCCCGAAACCTGACTGTTTCATGCCACCAAAAGGTATCATTGGATCTTAAAAAAGACTTCGACAGAAATATTCTATTACTTAAAGAAAAACATCACAACAAAAGTAAGTTTGAAATGAAGCTCTTCAAAATAGATCATTCCTTCTCAGTTGATAATTACTATCAATCAATATTAGATCAACAAATTCATGTAAGTAAAGCTTCAAGGAAGGAAAATCGAAACGCTTCATTTAAAGCAAATTTTAGCTAACTTGAAAAATGTTCGCATGTAAATTCTGTATTCTTTAACAAACTTACTTGTGATATTGTATGTATTTACATAAACGTTGCCAGCATGAAGTTTTGAAGCCAATGAATATGCCAGATGTAAGTTCCTGCAAAAAGTAAACAGAGATTTACTACTAAAAAACAAGCATAAATTAAAGGCTAAATTTTAACAATTCAACAAAACACACCTTGTAAAAACACCAGCAGCAAGTCCATAAGGTGTATCGTTTGCCATACGGATAGCATCCTGAAATTTTAGTTTTCACTAAAATTCCCTTCTTCTATCGACTCGACGAAATCGAAAAGTGAATCCAAAAATTCTTTAAATAAGTCTAAACACCTCACATAAACAAACCTACCTCGTTATTCTGGAATGGAATAATTAACATGACAGCTCCAAACACTTCCTCCTTATAAATTCTCATTTGCTCAGTAATGGAATCCAAAACAGCAGGCGATAAATAATAACCATTTTCGAGACCTTTAACTATTACTTCGTCACCGCCACATAACAATTTGGCACCCTTCAAAATCCAAAATCAAATTAATGAAAGGAAGGAATTACATCACACCAATAACTCTGCATGTTAATAGAATTTTCTAATAATTTTTTTTTTTTTAATGTTTGACTCCCAACAAATTCTGCAGAAAAAAATTTTTAATCTTTATTTACCCAAAAAGTTGAACAAATATTGAAGCAAATCAGATAACCTCTTGTACGGCTTCATCAATGTAAGCTTTAACTTTGTTCAAATGTTCACGAGAGATTGTGGCGCCTATTTTTGTCTCCTTCAATAACGGATCACCGACCACCAAATTTTTCGTTTGTTCCATAACTTTTTTTCGGAATTCTTCGTAACATGATATATGTACGAGAACTTTTGATGCATTCGAACATACCTCACCTTGACTGTAAATATTTCTCAGTAATTTTCTTACTTATCAGATAACTGAATAATTGAATCGTTACTTATTCAATTTTCTATTCAAATATTCCAAGAAAACTGGTCACAAGTCATTTTACATATGATTTAGATGTGGGAGATGTGCTGAAACAATAGAAAATAGGCTTGCTTTAAAAGAAATATCTAAGTGCTTAAAAAAGGCATTAATCATGTCACATATGAGATTTTAGAAATTTGGTAGGTATATGTATACTTATGACTAAACTAACGAGAAAAAATTGGCCATAAAGGCGCCCGTAATAGCGACATCAATATCCGCATCTTCACAAACGATCATCGCACTTTTTCCACCTAATTCCAATGTTACCGGTTTAATTCGACCAAATAAACTACATGATCCGAGGATTTTAGATCCAGTTGCGGTGCTACCAGTAAATGAGACCTTATTAATGCCACCATGTTCGCATATCGCTTGACCTGTTTCACCTTCACCCTGAAATATTTTAGCTTAATTCAAACGATTACTGAGTCATTAATGAAACTGAAATGGAAATAATGAATTGATAATTAATAACGGTGTTGCTCTTTTTGAACGATTTTTGCAAATGCATTATAGGTTACATTTGCGATTTGAGCAATAATTAATTATAACAACTGAGGTACATTATATCGAAGACATGACAATGTACTTTACTACTACAAGTATAAATCATGTTGCTTAGAAAATTGCATAAATAAGTTATACAAAGCCGATATTTATCGAGCCAACAGAAAATTCCAACTTAAATTGAAATCTAAATAGTCGCAAGAATAGTACATATTTGGAAAAAATTGGCATAAAAGTGAAAGAAATTCGCAATTTTAATCGCTATTCACTGCAACTTCATCGGTCTTTTTTCAATACTTTCCAAAATATATGAAAATATACCTGCAAAACGGATAGTACACCATCAGGAAGACCAGCGGCTTGAAGGATTTGAGCCAACAGTACACCAGTTACAGGTGCAAAAGGTGACGGTTTGTAGAGCACAGCGTTACCGCACATTAATGCTGGTGCAATTTTCCATGATGCAGTTAGCATCGGATAATTCCAAACACCAATTGCACCAACAATACCCCATGGTACACGTTCCGTATATGCATAATTATCTTTACTTAATGGGAAATGATTACCTGTAATAAAGTGTACAATATAAAGCATCTGGTGATAAGAAGATAAAAGTATCATACCGAAAAAGTATCACAATGATTTTAATAATATTTTGAAGGACTTTCGAGGAAAAATTTGCTTTTAACCTACATATGAAAGAATTGAAATGATCAAATTTAATAAATAATTTTAACAAAATTTCAAATATTTGCAAAACTTAAAGAATTTAAAAAATTTTCTTACCAGCAATATTATGCATAGCACCGCCAAAGAATTCGAAAGTATCAGCAGCAGCAATCATATCCCATCGTGATTCTTTAATTGCTTTACCGCAGTCAATTGTTTCCCAATATGCTAGTTGATCCTCAACACTCTAGAATATTGATGGTTTCAAAATTCATGAATATTTTTCAAACTAGAAACTAGGATAAAATAGCCAAATAGATAAAAGTAATAGGTTAAAATTTTGGGTCAAGACAGCTGATCCAAATATGTGAAAGTGATAGGCTGAAGGTAAAGCAGAACAAAGCATAATAGTGTTCATATTTTGCTCGACTACCTCAGCATTATACATAATGATCTGAGAAGATTTTACAATTGGAATTGAACAAAAAAAAAATATACGCGTATAATAGAAGCTGCCTGAAGTAAAACTGTTCCACGTTGTTGAATATTTAAATCTGCCCAGAATTTCTGCGCTTCATACGCTTCCTTAACCACTTCATCAATCACTTCGGTATTAGCACAACCGCAACGTGCTAATATCTCACCTGGAAAAGTTAAGAATTTTTCCAAATAATTTTTTTTTTATAACCAAAATACTTTTTTCCTTAGAAGCATTTTTTTTCTTCCTTTTTTTCAAAATATTTCTTTTTCTTTGTTTTCTTAGTAAAAAAAAAAAAGAAAGAAAAAAAAGTATTCGATCTCCTCACGACGATTTTTAACCTTCCTCAATTTTTCTTTTTGCGCTAGGATCTTTTTTATTTTTTGAAAATTTACAAAAAATAAAAAATTTTGGAGAAAAAAAAAGACAATACTTTAATTTGGTGCACAAGTTTTTACAAAATAATAACTGAAAGAAATCATAATTAATGATTGCCACTTGTTGTAACAAAAAGTAAACAGGATGTTTTAACAAATATTATAAATGCTATCTACAACACATATATGAAAAATATTAAAGATTAAAGAGATTAAAAATTAAAACTTTTCTTTTTTAATTGGAAATAAATTTTGATAAATTCACTAACCATTTCTTGGTTGATAAATATCGAAATGTTTGGTTGCTTTAAGTGCAACACGAGCACCATTTATAAAATGTAATGCATTATCGATTGTCTTCGGAACGACAAATTTTATCAACGGCATGCGAAATCTAACGAAATGAAGTTTTAAATATTTAGATTGGATTAATTTAGCAGGATGTGAACCTTGTAGACCTTGTGGTATTGGTAATGATCGTTCCTGATAATATTTCTCCCAAAAGGGTAAAAGTTTTCCAGTTGAATCATTGAATGTTAATTGATGTATTGGACAAAAATCATTGATACCAGCAGCTTCATATGATTTCACTAATAATTGACAACAATAGAACGCTTCACTACCTTTCGAATCACGCATATCAGGTGAGAAAATATCATTGTAATTAGCACCAACTTTAGATTTTGCCCATTTACATGCATTAATACGAACTGTTTGTGATACCTGAGCTCGATATACCTCGAAACTTTCCGGATTCAATTTTTCTATGACATCCTTTAGAAGTTCTTGGCAAACACCAGATTCTCGACTAGCATGTATCACCCATTGAAGGGTATCTTCATATAGTAATGCTACATGTATAACAGATTCCAGTGCAACATCAGCAATTGCTTCACTAAATTGATCACCATTCTTTCTGTCACCTTTTTTGAAGAATACAATATCTCCAATAGCAATATCAGCTTCTTTGAAGAACATTGACGAATGCCTATAGTTTATGGTTAATGATTAAATAATTCAAGGAAAAAAAATGTACGGTTCATGTACCGAAATTCATTTCGAAAATAAATTCATATTCATTTCCATATTTTAAATGATAAGTTTAAATAACTTTAATCAAAACAAAAGTACTCTGAGAAAAAATCGCAGGATAAGTTAAGCCAAAAAAAAGATGAAAAACAAGAAAATAGAAATATTGAAAATTTGAATTGTCATTTTAAAACATGCATGAAACTCGCACCTATTTCAGTCAGGAATTTGATTTAAATAAACACAAATATTATACTTGTGAACAAATAAGCATATAATTTAAATATCTGGGCCAAATATCCTGTGTAAATATTAATTTCTTCTTTTTTCTTTTTTTTTCTATAAATCTAATTCCAATTTTAACCTAAAAACAATTGTTTATCGATAGCTTTTTATTTATATTTTTAAATGGCCAACAAAAAAGGGAAACGAACAACCAATGATGAATTATTCCAATGGTCAATGATAAAATAATTAGATATTTATCCATGGAATACAGTATACAAAAGTAAATGATAATGCATATGTGTGTAATATTTATATAAGCTCAAAGATCACAGTACAGATTCTCATCGAGACATCAACTATTTCGAAAATTCATCATAAATAATTGAAAAAGCTACAACTGTTTGTGACAAATACCAACTAAAATACTCATAATATAGCTATACCTTATGAACTTTTTAATCGTGGAAAGCATAGCAGGGCTTAACATTATTCAAATTGATTAAATTGTGTCGCACCATGCAATTCTTCAAAACAACTTGTTCTTTTTTTTTTCCAATATCAAAGTGGCAAATGGTATGTGATTTTTAAAGCTTACATTGAACTTTTCATTTTCTAAATCAGATGAGAGTTGCTACAACAAGTTGCTTTCTCGGAATTTTATGACTGAATAGAAGATTGAATATGTAAATGTTGAAGAAGATGCACTGAAATGTTACTGCAACAATTCACTCTTAAATATTGCGATGATTGGAAAACTGGCAACAGTGATGTTTCTATTTTATCATTTGCACTAACCAACTCCTGATAAACAATAAATAATACTCACATGAAAATATACTTTGGAAAGGAAGCATTATATCATGATACAAGGGTTTATTGCACAAATAGAAAGACCTTATTCCAGGAAATAGACAAAAAGATGAGTTGAAGAATAAAGTAAAAAAAAAACTCAATTGGTTTTGGACAAATGAAGAAACTGCAGGAATATTGGAGGAAAATGAAATATTTCACTATAAAAGAAGAATAATATTTCGACAACGCTCTATGATGTGTAAGTATTCGAATGTGTTCATTCTTTTTATGTCCATCAAAATTATTCCATGAATAACTTTGACAAGACAAACAAAGAGATGTAGAGAGTCAAAAGGTTAACTGATTAAAATATTTACAAAGAGTTCAAATTTATGACCACATCAAATATTTTGTTAAATAAAATATAGAAAAACAACAGATTATCTTTTAGAATGACCAATACTATAGTATGATTGCTTAAAAAACCAAACACAGAATATTTCTGCTTAAATGTACCGCGGTACAAGCAGCTTTTACTTCGTGCTTCTGGAATTTTAGAAATCTTAATTTTCGAAAATCTTTTCAAACCTATTCCAATTTATCCCGCATAGGAAAATAAGAGACCCCACTATCTGTTCTGATTTATCTTTTGGAACGATCAATACCATATATGATTGTTCAAAAACTCAGACACGGGAATATTTCTGCTTAAAAGTACCATACAAGCAACTTTTACTTCGTACTTCTGAAATTCGAGAAAGAGCTGGTAAAGTGAATAAATAAAACTGATATAAGAAAATTCGAAATCCACTTTTCAAATCCTATCCATTTGGGTTACAACAATTTGACAATACAATAATAAAAGAAAAAGCTAATAAATATTATCGTGAGTAAAATAGAATAAGCTATCAAAAAAAGAAAAAAAGGAAAAAAAAAAAACCTACTAAATATCAGGCATCTAAGTTAAGCTCCATGTTAAGCACTTTTAACACATTATATGGTAAATGGTCACTGATAACAGCACTTGACAGCTTGATTTCATTCAGCGAGCTGTAGTACAGACTGATTAGAAATGAAACAAATGACTCAAATTCATTTCTCCAACTTTTTTCTTCGTTAAACTACTTAGAATGAAATTTAACAAATTTTCGTC